CCCAGGACACTGCATTCATCATAAATATGAACCAGTTGCCAAACATCCAAATTTTGATCATGTGACCATGGGGATGCTACAATGGTGGTGTGAAAACTGGTCAAAAGTCACTGTTTTCAGTGCCATTGTAACTTGGTCACTAAACAATGGTTGGTCACTAAACAAAAAGTTGTAAGCCGAGGACTACCTGTATCATAAATATTCCAGTAAAAAATATGCATCCGTGTTATTAGCATGTAGCTCTTGAGTTAATTTCATGCTGTCCTTAGCCTTATTGCTTTTGCAAGCAATTCAGACCTCTTAAAAAAGTATTTTACGGTCTTTACTAGTTTCCTCTAATGTTGAGAGAGAAAGAGGATGTTGGAAAAGAAAATGTATCTAATCCCATTCATATTTGGGTAATCCAATACATCTGCAATCTCTCATATGCTATTCCTATGGGAATATGGTCCTTAACAGAAGTGGGGAAAGTTGCATATCCCTTGATTTAAAACAAAAGGGATATCCAAAATGCTGACTGAATAAAAAAATATTATCTTGGTTTCTGTACTATAACAAAATTTGGATGCAGATAAATACACATAATAAATCCCATGATTAATCTACAATAAGGATGGGATTGTCAGTATTAAATCCCTTTAGAGTAATTCTCTTTTCTTTTTTAGTTGATTTATTAGCATTGTGATTTGTGGGAACACTGTAGAAAAATTCTCAGCAAATGGTATTTGATAAGCAAAGTAATTAAATGTGAGCTGGATAATAATCGCATTATGTAACATTACCACTGCTTGGAGAACATACTGTTCTTGAGTCATAAACAGTGGAATCTGTAGCAAGCCATGATGATATCAAGACAACGTTGTGGGCATCATGACATTACACAAAGGACTTAAATGAATACCTGAATTGTGACATCTAGTGAAAGCATGTGAGGATGTCATTTGTGGCATGATGTACATCTCATGCCGTTTCTGCCCCACTCCCACAGATGCAGGTGCTCATCAACAGATTTCATCACAGTGTTTTTAGGTAGGGTGCTGCAAGATTTTACTCTTTTTGGTGGCGGTGGCAAAAGGCAAGGGGGAGAGGGGGAAAGGTGAGCGGCAGTGGTGGCAAAAGGCAAGCATGGTGTGTGGGGGGAAAGGTGAGCACCGGTGGCGGCAGATAGGTGGTGGAGCTTGCTTGCAGATCCTCACTCACCAATCGCAAAGGCAGACAGCAATGGCGGGCGAGCGAAGATGGAGGGTGGGCGACCCAGGAATTGGGACTCTACTGGGGTGACGGCGGTGGCAGCAGGTAGGCAACCGGGGCTTGCAGAGCCTCACTGACACAGGTAGATCAGATCAGATAGGGCTGAGGCGGGAGGCAGGCAATGATGTCTGGCTGGCTGGGGGGGGGGCATGCTGCAGGCAGTGATGGCAGGTGGGAGAATGCAGGCCGCAATGGTGTGGGGGCGAGATAAGGAGTGACGGGGGAGGGCAGGGAGTGGGCAGCCAGTGGTGCGATTTGCCGATTCTCCGAACTGCTGTTTTCCTGGCAAGATTTTTTGTTTGTTTGTTTTTGGAAGTGCTTTGTGTCAGAGTATATTCATGAACTGGAATAGAGCTTGGCTCTGAACTTGCAACATGTTTCTGTCTGAGTTTGCTCCTTGTTGGTGTCATGCCCCTGGTGGAGACTGACTCTGAGGAAGAGGAAGAACAGCCAACAGGGAGTGGAAGTGTGGCTCCAGAGATGGTGGAGGAGGCTGGGGAAGGGCAGAGCCTGGCTGAGCAGTCAGAGGAGGACCCAGGCCCATCCCCTATCCATCCTAGGGCACGCAGGGAGGAGAGGATCAGGGTAAAACGTGGTCTACTCAGGAGGAGAGGGCCATGATCCTCTTCATGGGTTGCAAGTGTGAGATCTGCATAAAAGGTTGGACATGCGTGCTAACAGATGCTGGAGACAAATTAGTGTTTATTTCTAAAGAAGGTTTATCTTGGTTGGCGTTCTTCCAACGGACTGCCCCTGGTTATCTTCCTGAAGTTGGCAATTATCTGTCCTGGTCTGTTGAGGAACTTTATTCAATGCGGTTTGCTTTTGTTTTTTGGTTCATTATCGGCTCTTTGAATTTGAACTGTGTTTCTTGCCTTTGAAATGTTATTCTGAAAATAGTTTACTCCTCCACTGTGAACAATTAAACAGTGAAGCCAAGTTGAAGGTATTAAAGGACTTTTAGTTAAGTTTTGGATTTTGTTATATTTTTGATATACTCTGGGTCATCACAGTTGGAGAAATCTACTACTGATTTGTAAAATCTACTTATGTTTATAAAGATGTTAAATGAAGCATCAGCCATCTGTGTTTATTTTTCTGGCGCTGAATTAACATTGCAAAACCCTGAACACTTTGCCATTGTCATCATCCAGGGCTGAAAAAAAACTGACTTGCACAAGGTCACCCAGCTGGCTTTATGCGTAAAACAGGAGTACAACTCACATCTACAGCTTTCTAGCCTGGTGCCTTAACTACTACACCAAACTGGCGCTCAAAGTTCTTTTAGGCATCAGCTGTCTTCTCAAAAATTAGGAATAGATTTCAAAGGACATAAAAATTCAGATGACTAGGTTTATTGTAGAAAAGTGGTAACACCATTATAAAATAATCTCAGTGATAGATTTGTATTAAATGTGAGCCACACTCATATTGAATTCAAATTTATGTTTGTGCCTCTGTTCCCCTCCCAAGTAATGCAGTTGGCTAGATGCTCTTCTCTTCTGGCTGGAAGGCTCCGTTTCCACCTGTCTCCTATTTTGGTAAACCTGCTAGGTTTACCAAAGTGATTTCAAGTGATTTAGTTTTGACCCCGGATGACAAATTTTTGTAATATTGGTCATAAAAGTCTATGGAGATTTTCAATCATACACCATGGTTGTCTCAAAGGTGCTTTTGCCAAAAAGGAGCTGGACTTTCTTGGAATTCCAAGAAAGTCCAGGTGCCTTTTGGAAAAAGCATCTTTGGGACACTGGTCATAAATATATAATAATGAATGTAGAATATATTGTCATGGCTAGAGAAGAGCTGTTATAAAATTCAGATGTTATGATCAATACATGATCAATTTGCCCAATAAGCATTTATAGAAATGCTCCTCTAACATCTTCATCCTATAATTGCAGCTTTACCTGATTCCAACAATTTGACCTTAAACATGAACATGGTATCATCTCTGAACCAAACTGTTACCCTTTGTGATACTTGGTTTGATAGCATTTTACCAATGGAATAGTAAAAGTGATTAGATATATTAATTCACTTAGAGTGAACACGCAGGTTGTTGTTTTTTTTGCTAAACGCAAAAATATGTATTGTAGAGACTGCTACAGTTAATATTGCGCTATGATCTTTTGCTTACATGTTGCTAAATGTAAAAGCTGGGTTGTGTTGCTGAATTTTCCATGTGGGCTACCAAACTCAAGAAGCATAGTATTATACACATGCTTTATTAACTGTTTGCAAGGTATTATTTTTTATTTAGATTTAATATTAATATCCACTCCAATGAACATCCCATCTTAAAATCTATGTTCTAATATCAGAAATGGCTTTCTAATTCATGTTTATAACAACATGAGCTCCCTCTCCTTATCAAAATTCAGGAACAAACTACTAATAATCAATAGCAGAGTTTTCTGCTGGCTTTATATTTTAATATTGTCAGAGTGTGCACAATGTGACTAGATGAGACAACCCAGGAGCAAATGCAATAAATAGGTTTGTATTTAAATATAATGGTTTTATCCACAAAAACATACATACATACAAGTACTTTCAGTCAGACCTTGAACAAACAGGCAAATAGCATTTATAGTATGGAGGCAGAGAAAGAAATATGCCTCAACAGAGCCATTCCTTAAGACAGGAAACCTCATTCCAGAATTACCGTATTTATCGGCGTATAACACGCACAGGCGTATAACACGCATCTTCATTTTAAGAGGGAAATTTCAGGAAAAAAAATTAAATTTCTAAATAAAAACTTTGAAGCAAAATAAGGGTAGCTCAGAACTTTTTTTTTATTAATATTATTACCACTTATAAGGTAAATCAGTGGTCCCCAACCTTTTTTGTACCAGGGACCGGTTTCAAGCAGAAAATTTTTGCAAGGACCGGGGGGGGGGGGGA